GTACTACGACTTTGCAGACCACATCATTATTTACAAAAAGTGTCGCGAGAGCATATGTCTTACTATTATAGTTATGCCATAATAAGTGTTCTTTTATTTTAAAATTTTGATTCAAATGCTGCCGCTAACAAAGGCTGTTTATTTGTACCCTGGTATTAATCTTTACAAAAATAAATTACTTCATATTTAAGACTGTTTCAATATCTTTATAAAACTTTTTGAATTATTAAATTCGCACATTCCATTCCTTAGATATTGCAAGTTTAAAAATGTTAATATATTGTGTAAATGTTAGTATATGACTATCCAAACAGGTTAGTGACTGACTTAGTAATTCTGATAAGTTTTCAATCACATTTATACTGGTAATTCCTGTTCATCAGTTAGCAAATTATTTAATACTAAGGAAGTTTAATTTTTTTATCATTTTAAAATGCCCAAAAGAACAGGATCTCATCTTTCTAGAAATAGTTCTCAGGCGAGGACATTAAAAATACGTCATAATGAGGAATCTTTACCGGAAACTGAAAATCGTCTTACAAGTCGGAGAGTCAAGTAGAGTGTTTGCAGTGGCTTGAAGAGTATAATAATATAAATATACAAATTCACACTAGGAAATCGAGGTCTGAGCGTTCCCAACGTACACGAGATAAGAGAGAAAAATAATAAACGTCAACGACTAGAGTTCGTAATCGAGTTTTAGCTCACAGTAACAGATCACCTTTCATGCATTTTGCTCAACAGTCTTCCGTCCAAATCGTAGCCACGAATAAGATCTGCAATAATAGTGTTCTGCCAAAAATGGGTCTATGAACCAAATGGTATGTGCTGTGCTTCTAGAAAAGGTAGTCTCCCCAATATTGAGGAGCCGCCACAGCCAATAAAAAATCTTTTTACAAATAATCAATCACCATCAGGACATTTTTAACCAACATCCGCAAGTACAATAGCCTCTTTCAAATGACTTCGTTTGACGCGAACTTTTAAAATAGAGGGACAAGTATACAAGTTATCATTATCCTCCTGCCCCTATCCCACCTAGGTGGGGTCGGCACAACATGAATCATGTTGTAAACGGTTTTGGCTATATTTTTACAACCCGCCGCCTGCTTGACGTCAAAACCTCCTTGGGAAACAAATACCCAGATCAAATTTCAACTGTGTAACTATCATGGTTCATGAGATACAGCCTGTTGACAAAGGGACAAACGGACAGCGGAGTCTTAGTAATAGGGTCCCGTTTTCCCCGTTGGGTACGGCATCCTAAAAATGCCCCAGAGATATAGTGTTGCACGGTAGACACGGCCAACTTAAAAGGGTCTCTGAGTTACACCGATTGTATGATCCATAAAAATATCCCTTCATAGTCGTAATAGGAGTAGACGGTTAATATTTGACTATTCCTCAGCAAAGTACTGTACGTAACAAAACTGTGAAATTCATGCAATTGTATGCATTTAGGTTGATGGTTATAGTTACCTGTTTTAAACCATTGCATTATTACTGGGACTTATTAAGGTTCCGTACCCAAAGGGTAAAACGGCACCCTATTACTAAGCTTCCGCTGTCCGTCTGCATGTCCGTATGTCTGTCCATATGTCACCAGGCTGTATCTCATGAATCTTGATAGTTAGACAGTTGAAATTTTCACATACGATGAATTTCAGTTGCCGCTATAACAAAAAATACCAAAAAAAAAAATATAAATAAGTGGGGCTCCCATAAAACAGACATGATTTTTTTGCCGTTCTTAAAGATAATGTTGACAGTAGTAGTGTTTTTGACAATATGTAAGTGTAATACTCCTATACTTCCATATTAAATGAAGATATTAAAACATGATTTTTTTAATAGTGATAGAGTGATAGAGTGGCAAACGAGCTGGCGGTTCTGATGTTGGCGGACCTGATGTTAAGTAATAACCGCCTTCCATGGACATTTGTAACACCTGTAGGGTTGCAAATGAGTTGCCATCTTTAAATAAAGTGGGCCCCGGCTACCTCTCTCACCAGACGAAACGTAGAAGTTATAACACTTCCATTTACGACGGTCTTCTGTGAGGTCGGTACGGAACCCTTCGTGTGCGAGTCTGACTCGCACTTGGCCGGTTTTTATTCAATACATTGTCGATATGATGGCAAAAAGGTATCAGAAAGATTGGATTCATATTATGTCGTAATCACCAGAGACTGAGGGCTGGTGAAACATTCATCTTAGAGAAGCTTTAAATCAAGACATTGGCTCATCAAACATCGGATCATCAGACATCGGTCAACAAAAATACCAAAGATGCGATGATTTATGTCGGAAGCTATGGGAGACCAGACTTATTTGTCACTTTTACGTGACGTAATTTCAAGGGTATTTCATTAAAATATGAAGAAATTCATAAAATTATTCCCCAAAGACGAAATATTCGAAAGGTTTTATGTGTGTATGATAATTTTAACTCTTAAATATTTTATTAAATACCCGTGCGAAGCCGGGGCAGGCCGCTAGTATTAAATATATTTAATTATAAATTAAAAATTTATTTTCGCCTAGCGCCCTATCCGCCAAATCAAATTGCACAGTAACAATAAGGAATTTTGTTCCATTAATTATAATTAAATTGTAATTTATATAAATTTTATATAAAAACTAGCGGTCCCAGACTTTTTCAGACCGACAGATTGTCTTATATGCGTCTTAAATCTGAAAATTTAAATTTTATTTAATAATTTTATGAATCTTAACCATTCTCGAATGAATTTGAAGATACACAAAATTTCATTGAAATCGGTCCAGCCATTTAGGAGTTCAGTGACATATATGTATACGTAGAGAAGAATTATACATATAAAGAAGATATTTATAAATATATTTTTCTAAATTACACATAAATAACTAATATCCAAAAGAAGCGTATGGTATTATTATATGTTTGGCGGAAGTCGGTATCCATAGTCTTATCTAAAACTTCTCTCAAATTTAATGGACGCGATAAAAGTAACATCTTTTTTGACATTATGATAGGTAAGATAGAATTTATCGTTGTCCAAGCTAGTTATGGTAAGTAATTTATTCGCTTATCTACTTTTACTTTGTTTCAGAGTCATCATCATCATCATTTCAGCCTGTTTGAGTTCACTGCTGGACAAAGGCCTCCCCCACAGACTGACACGAAGTACGATCCTGAGCCACCTGCGTCCATCGACTTCCCGCACACTTGCACAGGTCGTCGCTCCATCTAGTGGGGGTCGTCCAACACTGCGATGCAAAGAGTACTTTTATATAGCTGCGATGGCCAGTGGCTGCCACTCGAGAACCTTTCTTCCCCAACGGTTATCAGTTCTACGAGCTAGGTATATAGCCAGCCCATCGCCACTCCAGCTTACTAACCTACCAATATGTCGGTTACCTTTGTTCTCCTGCCTTCGTTGAGAACTCTATCACGCAAAGAAATACCGAGCGCAGCCCGCTCCGTAGCCCGCTGAACGACTTTGAGCTTCCTCATACGGCCAGCAATGAAGGGCCACGTGTCAGTTCCGTATATCATCACTGGCAACACACATTGGTTGAAGACTTTAGTCTTCAAACATTGAGGTATGTTCGACGAGAACATTTGCCGAAGTTTCCCGAACGCTGCCCATCCGAATTAGATTCGCCAATTGACCTCTGCGTCGAAGTTGGACTTACTGTCAGCTCACCCGCTTGTTCGTTGGCCTCCTTTTACCGTAAAGAAAACTGCATACACTATATAATAATAAAATATCTTTATTCACATAGACGACGAAACGTCGAAATTTTACAAAGAAATTAATACGTTCGTAAGTTACCACCGGGTCGGAAAGCAGTTTCTGTTGAGAAGAAACCGGAAACTCAACAGTTGCTCTGTTTTAAAAGGTCAGTTTATAATATTTATATTTATTTATAATGGTATAATATGCTTTAGCCATAAGTTTACTTTTAATTATTCATTTAAATTCATCAATATTTTATGAAATACTTATATCATTAACCATCCACTCCATTCGTAGTAGCTCCTACCATTTTCAATTTTATTACATACATGCATTAGTGATATACAAAATAATGTTGTAATGATAAAATAAAATAAAAGGTTTCGATATAAATGCATTTATTTAAGTATGAAAATAATGAAAATAACGAAAAATCGCATAATCAAAGGCTCTTGTTTGATATAAAAATATAAGTTGCATCTTCGCATAGTAGTCTGTTGCCTCGTAGTCGCCATTTTGTTTCTTATGTATCTGTAACGATCATTTCTAAGATTATATGCGTCGTACAAGCATTAAACTAATCTTAGTGTAATGCTTTAGATATCTTCTGAGCAGTAGCTACACAGAAGATAATTATATAGATAATATATGTACATAAATTTTTCTAAGTATGTACTCATAAAAATTTCTCAGTTAAAACCAAATATAAAATAAGCAAATATGTTCTAATTAAAATAAAGTTTCCAAAAAAAATAGTTAGCACGTTTGAAATAATAAGAAATAAATAATCGAGCCGAGCAAAATTGTCACAATAATGTGCAAATATTAATGAATTATTTTGAATGATAACGTTTTTCAATAAACATTTTCATTATAAACAAATTTTCGATAGATAGCATTATCATATTTTGTTTATGAGTATTAAAAGAAATCTTTTTTAAGATTAAATATTACCTCTATTTCACTTGTCCATAAATCATCGATTATGATAAACTTTGAAATGGTGTTCGAATCATTAAATTCGATGAAGGCATTATTGAACAAATTGTCAATAGATGGCGTTATCAAATATTCTTAAGTATTAAAAGAAAGAATTAGTTTTCACTATCCTACTTGTCTATTATTCATCAATAGTGGAACACAAGCTTTGAAATGGTGTGCGTTCCGTTAAAGTCGATGAAGGCATTATTGGAGCTTGGGCCACGGAAAAAAAATCACCTTTGACAAACAATATAGACCAGCACTTAATCGGAAAGACCGTACCGTCTTGCCGTTCTACGGCCGCCGCCTGCACTGTACACGGAGCCAGGCCAGGTCTTCGGCCAGACCGCGCTCCTCTAGCACCGGGCCCAGGGTCTCCAGCACCCTCGCGTTGTAAGACTCTATGTAGGCTATCTGAAAGCCGCGACCGAAACCGTGGATCGATCGCTCGCATATAACTGTTCCGAGGCGTTTTCTTGTGATTGGAAAGGTTTAAGAGGCGATCGATCGGGGTAGACGAATTTTTTTTTTGCAAGCATTGACCTTAATTTAGGATAACATCATTCTGTGTTTCAAGGACGTTTTACATACATAAATTTCACGCGGACAGACACCCAGATGCGAAAGAACTATCCGTGGGTCACACAAATAGTCGTCCCGTGTGGGGATCGCACCCACTATTTACCGTGGTAGGGCCACGATAGTACCACGACCTCACAGAAGACCAGCGTAAAGTAGAAGTGTTGTCCTTCTGCGTTTCGTCTGGCGAGGTTCGTTTGCCACTTTCTCACATAAAAAAAACGCCTCCGTCACCGAAGCCAACACCTTGGCAACTTCGCCACGGAGTCATATTTTTTGTAGGTGTTTAACTGTGGGATGGGAGGGCCAAGCAGCAATCTTCACTGTTTCACGAATGGATCGGTCCTTCCGGGTGAGACTTCCGGTAAGTGAGGTAGCCGGGGCCCAGTGTTTAAAAGGTTGTCAACCTACGTGTTGCAACTGTCATGGGCGGCGGCCATCACTTAACATCAGGCGGACCGCCTGCTCGCTTGGCGACTTTTCAAATAAAGAAAAAAAAAAAAAAACAAGTTTTTCGTCGCGAGAATCGAACCCACGTCCACCGGATTCACGCCCACTACCCTTGGCAACTGCGCCACGGAGTCGTCTATAAGTAAACATGCTCACTTCAAAGTCGTCCAACATAGTGACGTCGATGCACTCCCACTGGTTGGGAACCAGGGTCAGGGTGCTGAAGCCGAGCACCCCCCTCCCGTCGAAGTCTCCCACGAGCCCCGAAGCCTGAGGACAGTTTTTGGTCGAAACACGCGTGAAGAGGCAACAACCCAAACATGCTTTTTCAGCCAGGCTTGGGTTATTACATTATTTTTACATATTACAATATTTCATTACATAATTAAGATTTATTTTAAACCTTTGTTATTTTTAAGTTCGGTTTAGACATAAGTTCCTCGATTTGACGACCCAATTGGCGTGGTTGATAGTGACCGTGTATCTTGCGCCACTACTGTAAAACCGGAATGATTCAATCCGTTCTCAGCGAAACACTTTGTATTTCTGTTGTTTTTATTTTTCACAACAACTGTATTTTTTATTTTTTTCACAAAATTTTGTATTTTATTTATTGTGTAATTTTTAAAAAAAAAAAATTTTTTAATTTTTTCCCCGTTTTCTGTTTTTTGAACGCTGTTTCGAAACTGACGCGACGTAAAATTGTGGTAAATAAAAACAAACCATTTTTTCGTTTCTGACGACAAATATGGTAAATGAAACCTAAAATGTCGTCTACAATCCTTAAAGTTTTGAGGTGCAAGTGTGCTTACACTCAAGAACAAGCAGTTAGCAGTTACCCAAAAATAGTACTCGGCTGTCGACCAATCACAAACGCGAGAGACCGACAATCGACCAATCGGAGCGATGCACTGTCGTATACTTAGAATAAACTATACGATTAAGAAGACATAAAATGATAAAATTATTCATAGTAATTTCAAAAGGGTTTCGAAACAAACGTCAATAAAATGCGTAATCATAATAGACAGAATTAATAATTTTTCTATATGTCTGTCTAAAAGTTTTTGTCAAATACTTACAAGGTACAAACGCGAACGTCATATATTCAATACAAGTAACTTCCTTGGATTGAATATATGACATTTCATTTCATTTTAACTCCGTTACAAGTAGAAACGAGATAATAAAATATGAATAAATTTCAATATTAAACAAATTCATCGCCAAGAGAGTATTGACATTAAGTGATGGTCGAAATGGGAAACGCACCCTGGGATGCTCCGATTCCTTGGTGATGGCAACAGTCTCCACCAGGTCCTCGTGCCTGATGCCGTACTCCCCCACCTTGTAGAAGCCGGGCTCTGGAGGGAGAACATGTGTGTTAGAAAGAGAAAGAGACAGAAACAGATAGACTCAAATTCAAATTCAAATCCAAATCATTTATTCATTGAAATAAGAAATATACACTTCATTTATCGATATTCATTTTTTTTAATCTACCACCGTTTCGTAATAAGGTTCCTCTCACGGAGAAGAAACAGGCGAAAGAAACTCCGTAGGTATCCTCTTTTTTGTCATTTTTTTTTAGAAACAGCTTAGGAGCGATCATCATTAACGATAATAACCCCATCCCAGGGGTTATTATCGTTAATGTATTCATTTATATTATAATAACCCTTTTTAAAAAGTTTTTCTTTAATAAATTTCTTAAACCTGTTAATAGATAGGCTTTGCACATTAACTGGGATACTCGCTGAGAATCGAGTGGAGGGGGCATAGCGCTTTTTCGTTACGTGACAATTCCTACCTAACACACACCCCCAAGCCGCGCTAAGGCACTTATGCAAATTACTTTACAAATAAAAATTACTGCATTTCCAAAAACTTGTTGCTCCAATCGTTACAGTTAAAATCGTTGTTTCCAATGATTTTAACTGTAACGATTGAACGGATTCATTTTCGCCGGCGTCTGTCTAGTCCCGCCCGATTCTAACGGCGCCAAGAGTTAACGGTTTATAATTTCTCAGGTACGCAATTCGAGCGTCTCGAGACTACGGTGAGTAATTTAAAACAAAAACTTAATTCAGTCTTCTTACCATTCCCTTCTGTTTATATACAAATATTTATGTGTTTATTCATATATATATTTATTTATTTTATTTATTTATTTATGTACATGCAGTAGTGTTGTGTACATGTGTCTATAGTACCCATATTTTAGCCTCATCATATTAGCGTATACCTCAAACCCTTCTCACTGCTCATTGTATTGTCTATAACATGGTTGCCTGGAAGAAATCGCTCCTAAGCGATAACGCCGCCCATTGTACCTTTATGTAACTGTTTGTTACTTTTGTAATTTTGTCTGATGTACAATAAAGCGTATTTCATTCATTCGTTCATTCGTTCATTCATTCGTTCATTCATTCATTCATTCATTCATTCATTCATTCAGCCGGCCAGTCACTGGCCGCTTTTGCGGTAAGTAAAAAAAAAAGAAACGACCCCCCCCCCCCCCCCCCCGCCAAATAAAGCGTGGCGCCGACCGTTGCTGAGCAGCTGGCGGGGGCGCAGGCCCGGGTCGTGGGCGTAGGGCCGCCACGAGACCCCCGAGGGGCCCTCGTGCACGTTGAGGCAGTGGCCCACGCCGTGGCCGGTGCCGTGCGCGTAGTCCAGCCCCACCCGCCACAGGTGGAGGCGCGCCAGGCTGTCCAGCACGTTGCCCTGCGGACGGAAGTTTCCAGACCACCGCTTATTGTCACCATCGCCGGGTTGACGCATTGACAATAATAATCGTGAGATGGTATTGCTCGCTGATGTTACCTCTCCAATTTTTAAAGTAAAAACGACGTTTCGTCAAATTAAAAACTAACGCCCGATTTCTGAAGCACTGATCATCGTAGAAGTCAACTAACCAGCTGTGAAATGGGTTTTCAAACGTTATTTGAGTTGCCAAAAGGATTGTTAAACTCTCTGAATCGATCAGAATGATCTTCTTAACGATGACTTCTTAAATGTTAATACATTAGAGAATTTACAACTTCCAATGTGAAACATGTAAAAACTGATGTACTTTTATACTGCGCAACACCGTATTGGCTCAACTGATTCCTTGGCTAACTCTTATGCCAAGGAATAAGACAGTTGAGTGATGTTAAAACTCAAATTTTAAAGTTTTTTAAACGGAGTTTAATTTTCTTGTATCTAAATGTTATGCCCACAAGTGATTATCTAAATGGCAAAAACTTGTATCACAGTTTCCTAAATAATGCTTTCTTAGTATATATCAAATCAAATCATTTATTCATCGAAGTAAGAAATGTTCATTTCATCTTTCGATAGATATTTTGAATCTACCACCGTTCCATCATGAGGTTCCTCTAACGGAGAAGAAACAGGCGAAAGAAAGTCCGTAGATATCCACTTTATATGCTTTTCATATTTAAAATTTAAGGCTTTACAATGTCATTTGAGTTGCCAAAAGGACTGTTAAACTCTTTGAATTGATTATTCTGATCATTAAGAAGATCATTCTGACGATGTTCAGTGTTTTAGAAACCGGGCGTCAATGTACAATGTACTCTTCTACCAAACTGTAAACGGCAACTTCGAGGGGCTTTTGTCTCTCTCTCTCATCTAAGCTCTCTCTCTCTCACCTTGACCCCCTGCGGGAACAGTGCGCCGCCGATGCCCATCTGCCCCTTCAGCACCCTGGTGAAGGCTTCTTTCTGCTCCGCAGTGGGATTCCCGCTCATGTGGCGGGTCCGCGTGATGTCCGTGGTGCCGTCCCTGGATCGTTAGCGTGGTGAGGCAAGTGGCCGATTAGTGCATAGGCAAAGCCTTGGGATGACTCCGGTTTGAGTCGATTTTCTTTGGCAACAACCGTTATACCACTACCATCTTAAAAAATGTCGATCTTTCTATGAAAATTATTTAAAAGTGAATTTATTGCTTATGAATTGTTAATTTTTTTTATGTGGGAAAGTGGCAAACGCGCTGGCGGTTCACCAAATGTTAGGTGATAACCGCCGCCCATTTTTGCAAAACCCGTAGATTTGGAAATGCGTTGCCACCTTTAAATAAAGTGGGCCCCGGCTCACTCACCAGAGGAAACGCAGAAGAGTAACACTTCTACTTTACTACTTTTGTCTTCTGTGAGGTCGTGGCACTTACCCGGACGGACCTGCCCATTCGTGCAACAGCGAACACTGTTGCGTGGCCATACCATACGCGAAGCGGCCCTACTATACCAATAATCCAATAAGTTGCCACCTACGATTGCAAAGTACGGCATAAACCATAGGCCTTAGTCGCTCATCAGGCGAAAGACGAAAGTACAATTCCGCCGGGCTTCTGTGAGGCCGTGGTACTAGCTGCCTGATACGGTTCGAATCTAAAACTTAATAACCAACAAGCAACAACAAACTTAGCACTCTGTCTCCTTCTCTCTCACCTAGTGTTGCCATCCGTACTACAAAATATATCGTACTATATTTTATGCCAATAATTGTACTACATAATATAGAAAAATAATATTGTACGACACGTATTTTATTTTGATGGCTAATTCAATCTCCGCACTTGTTTCGTATAAAATGTAAACTAGAACAAATCAACTTTGGCGCGGGGAGTTTCAGAACGAAATTAACAACTGTTGTTTTGTTCGTCATAAACGTCATTTGTCCTAGCGACTAAACATAATTTTCTCGCCGAATGCCGAGTGAGTTTCGAAGTCTTGTAAGATTGCTTATTTTGTACTTACTCCTAAAATACTTGAGATAATAGAACCATCGACGCTTTCCATATAATAACATGAAACAATATCACAAGAAGAAGCAAATAAAAGAAAAAAAAAAGCTTACAAAAATATGGAAGTGAATGGGGAAGTCAGATTTGTTATATATAATATTAAAATAAACATATATAATTTTCCCTAAATTTCCTAAAAGTACTAATATTTTCACCACTCAGAAAAAATAATACTATTCAAAAATAGGTGGCAACCCTACTCTCACCTGTACTGCCCACCGGAGTCGAGAAGAAACATGTCGTCCTTCTTGATCACTCTCTGCTCCCCCGTTCTGGAGGGGCTGTAGTGTATTATCGCACCGTTCTCTCCGGCACCGGCAATAGTCTCGAAAGACGGCCCAAGAAAGTCCACCTCCTCCCTGAGAAGAACAGTTAGAACTTCAAGAGAGAGCTGAATTAAAAACGAGTCCATTTTTACTAACGAAAAACAAAACGGACTTCAAATATCTCGCTCTGTATAAATTTAATAATTGATTTTCAGCATTTCCCTAAGTATCTCCCGGGCCCAAGATCCTATACCAGTGAAATTAATATGGGACCACGTGGGAAGCGCCAGGTTTCAAATAAACAAAGAATCATCAAAATCTCTTCACCCAGTCGAGTTATGAGGTAGCAAACATTAAAAAAAAATAAAAAAAAAAAAACAGCCGTATTGAAAACCTCCAGTATTGAAGTCGGTTGAAAAAATAACAAATAAGAAAAACCGGCCAACCAGTTGGCCTCGCGCGCGAAGGGTACCGTATCATCGTCTATAAAAGCGGCAAATAATCATGTCTGTTGTATTATCTCTTATCCTTTAAACGAGCAATTCTTGTATATATATATATATATATATATATATATAATCGGAATCTCGGAAACGGCTCCAGCGATTTTCATGAAATTTGGTATGTGCGTAGATTCGGGGGCGAAAAATCGATCTAGCTAGGTTTCATTTTTAGAAAATGTCCTTTTATCCCTGTTTTCAGGGAATGAAAAATATCATTTGAATATGACGGTAAATTTCGCTGCAAAAGAAAATGTTATAATAGCTCGGTCGGTAATCGGGCGGCCCCAAAACAGACGGCCGTGGTTCGTATCACGATCATTTACAGTCTTTGTTTTTACTTTTTTTTCGATTCCAGATCATTGCTTTCTTTATTTTTAATTTTTTTGTCGATTTGTTACTTTTTTCCCTTTTTTTTAAAGTTGTTTCTTTTGTGAAAAACGCCACTTCATATTTTCTTATTATTAGGTCGGTAGGATCGAAAAATATTACGTATATTTCATTACTCAGTAATTTGTATCTAAATGTAATTTCCAAAACACACGATTTACAAAAAAAAAAAAAAAAAACAAACCTCCGGGTACTATCTTTTTATTCTGAATATAAAAGGAACGCTAGTAACTCACTTTCCGTAGGTAATGCAACGGCTCGTAACGAAAACGCCTCGTTTTATTGTTAATATAGGATAACGGCCAGCACTTTTTTGACAAGAAAGCCCGTGGAGACCAAATTTGTCTACACTGACACCACAAGGGCATTGGTGTGGTTGACAAATCGGTGCCCCCAGACGGATTCTCACAGCAATGCGTAAGCTTTCATCGTCAAGTAATGTGCCCAAGTTACTTGATGGTAAAGCGTGAACCCAATAACTCGATTCTTTAGATGAGACGCCTAGGAAACGGGCACGCTCTAAATTACTTTCTAAATATTGAAACGTATCTCTCTGTAATAATGATGATAATGATGAAATTTCATTAGTAATCCTTACTAATACGCGAAAGTTTGTATGTAGGGATGGATGTTTGTTCCTCCTTCACGCAAAAACTACTGAAAAGATTTTAATGAAATTTTACAATTATATAGTTTATACATGATAATAACACGTAGGCTATAATTTATAAAGACAATGTGTGAATTGGCCAAGCCATCTGCGAGGTATTCTGGTGTATAATGTATACCAAAAAAAAATTGTTAATTCCCTTAGGCCGCGCGGGCGGAGCCGCGGTTAACAGCTAGTAAAGCGTATTACTTGCGGAACTCTAGCAGTCGGTCGGCCGCCTGGATTTCCGTGACGGTGGCGCCACCGTCGATCTCCGAGTGTAGCCATCGGAAGAACCTCACCACAGCTATGCCATCACGCACGTGACAATCTCGGAAGCCCTGCGCGGTGGGATTTTAAATGTTTTTTTTTAATGTGATAAGTAAAGCCAAGCGAGCAGGCGGTTCACCTGATGTTAAGTGAACACCGCCGCCCATGGACATCCGCCACACTCGAGGGTTGCAGATGCGTTGACAACCTTTTGAAAATTCGGCTCCGGCCACCTCACTCGCCAGACGAAACGCGAAAGTATAGTAAATATAAGTAAGATTGACTCCGTGGCGCAGTTGCCAAGGAATTGGCTTCAGCGTCGAGGGTCGTGGGTTCGATTCCCACACGGGACAACTATTTGTGTGATCCACAGATAGTTTTTTGGCATCTGGGTGTTTGTCCGCGTCAAAGTTATGTTTGTGAAACGTCCTTACAACGCAGGATACTATTATCCTAAAGGGTATAAAAAAAAAATAAAAAAATAAATAAACAAGTATTATACTTCCACTTTACGCTGGTCTTCTGTGAGGTCGTGGTACTTACCCGGACGAGCCTGCCCATTCGTGCAACGGCCGAGGCTGCTGCGTGGCCCTACCACAGTTAATCCCGTTTTTGGTGCTACATGCGGGTTCGATCCCCGTTACAGGAAAACTATCGTGTGGTGGGGACTTTTGTTTGTCCAATGCCTGGGTGCTTATAATTTAAAAACGTGCAATTCTTGTTTTTACGTGTGCATATATGTCGGGAACGGCTCGATTGAATTGGATCAAATTTTGTATTCATATCATGCTTTTTGAGTTTATCTATATAGGCGTCCCATCCAGAAAACACGTGATTTTGCAGAAAAATAAACTACGAGACACGCGGTCATTTAGTACTGTTCAAGTACGCTTATCATATTATATATGTGACGACTTCATTGACGTAATGAAAAGTGAAGCTGTCTTTTGCGCCAGAGGGTGTGGGTTCGATGCCCACTACTGTAAAAATAATGCGTGACGTACATAATGTTTTTCTGGTGTCTGGCTGTTTATATATCAATAATATGTATTAATTAACAAAATAAAAGTTACAACACGTAGAACTGCGGTAGGGCCATGCAACGGTGTTCGCTGTTGCACGAATGGGCAGGTCCGTCCGAGTAAGTGCCACGACCTCGCAGAAGACTTGAGTGAGGTAGCCTGGGCACACTTTATCAAAAGGTGGCAACGCATCTGCAACCCCACTGATGTTGCGAATGTCAATCGGCGGCGGTTGTCACTTAACATCAGGTGAACCGCCAGCTCGTTTGCCACCTTCTCACATTAAAAAAAAAATTATGCCCATTGGCGGCGGTAATCACTTAGCATCAGGAGTCACCACCAAGTCAGTTGTGGTCTCTTTGAAGTGGTAGAAGAGTGGAAAACCTGCAGTTCCACTTCGTTCTTGATCAGCTTCGCCAATGCCACAGGCGACACCTCCGATATTAGGTCCAGCGGCTTCTTCAGCACACCCTCCTGGAAGGGATGAATTAAATGATGATTTTATCATTTATATATGTGTGCAATTTATATTAAAAAATATTGCTTATCTCTGCACTTAAGATGAAACATTAAAATTTGTAAAAAAAATATATATATGAAAAGTTTCTCGCCGCTGGGGAATCGAACCCACGTGTTCCGGATTCACGACGCTAAAGAAGTTTAACTTCGCACGTGCGTACAGAAATACAAACACACACACCCTTTTCTATGCCGTCACTTAAGATTGTTAAGAAAGGATAATTAAAATCTATAGTTTTACTATCAGATGCCTTGCTGTGGTAACGAATTACACTGTAGTAATCTATTCAAAACAGTGAAACTATTTACGAATAAAGATAAAAACGTTATAGCTAGTATAAAAATCCACTGGGTTGAGATTTGAACATGTCAAAATTTGAAAACAAATTTTCGTAGTTAGATATTAAGAAAAAATCAACAAAAAATGTTAAATTTTAGATTTTATTAATGTTATATTCAGTATGTAATAACGTCGCTACCTTAGCCACAGCAACGCGTGGTCGGGTCTGCTTGTGTTGTAAGTAAGTTTTCAAAACTTTTTTCCACACGCGTGATACGTGAAATAAATTATAGTTAACATATATGAAACTTTTATACCTTTAAAATAGCGCCATCTGTTAGAATCTTATGGAACTCACAGATTATAACTCTGTCATGTTATAATTTACAAACATATAATTTGCAATAAAAAAATATTGCGACTATAAATTGAGATATAAACTATCCTATCTCTCAAGTTGGATTAAACTGCACAAAATTTCAAAATTTAATTAAAATCGGATTATAGTTTAGGAGTTCACCGCGGAAAAACGACGTGACACGAGATTTATATATATAAAGAAAATATAATTTATCTCCTTTATCTGATGATAGCTCAGTGTCCGGGCGCTCGCCTTTAATTCAATATACTCGAGCAACCTGAGTTCGATCCCCGGTACCAATGAAGTTTTTAACTTTAAGTGCTGTCTTATCACGTGCTCCGCGGTGAAGGAAAACATCGTGACGAAACCTGCATATTTTCGAAATAATAACAAAAAAATATATTTCGAAAATATGTGAAGTCCGCCAATCCGCAGTGGGGCCGCGTGGTGGACTATGACTTGATACCCTCTATATAGAGGAGGCCTTTGCCCAGCAGTGGGACATGTATAGGCTGTTACTTTACTTTTTAACTTTACTCCTTTACACTTGCTTCACGTATACAGTAGTAGAAGTAGTAGTAGTAGTAGTAATAGTAGTAGTAGTAGTAGTAGTAGTAGTAGTAGTAGTAGTAGTAGTAGTAGTAGTAATAATACCAAAATTACTAACCCCGGCCGCCGCACGGTGAACTGCCTCGCTGCCGTCGCTGGTGAGCCAGATCGAGTGGTCACCGTCGCCGCACTCCGAGAGCTCTTTCTAGAAGGACACCAGCTAACACCTTCACATTTGGTTGAATGATATATGTATATTTTATATTATAATTATTTAGAGACATATTTTTACACAACGTATCTAGTCCCAAACAAGACAAAGCACTATGGAAACTAGGTAGAGTACGTATACATCGTGTCTTTACCACAGCGACAATAAATGAACACACGTCTAACGATACTTGCCAATAGTCATAAATAACATTAACGTTAAAAAAAATCCATAATTAAACAAGTAAAAAAGAAACAAAATTTTTAACATCCTATACAACTAAATCTGACTGATTCATACATTCAGAGACTTTTTCATTCGTTGCCACAGCGTCGCATTACAAGCCTCTCCTTCTAACAGTATGTTTTGTCTCTTAAATTCATTCAACCCATTCATATGCTTTGTGACCTTTACAAATGAACTTTACATTAAGTTTTATAAGTAAGGGTGTTCTAAAATTCTTTGTTTTGGAAAATTTGATAACTCGTTAAATATTGATGTTTAAAGAATGTAAATCTTTAATACAATTTTATAAAGTTATCCTCTATATGTATGTTCATTTATTGTCGCGATGGTAAAGACACGCTGACTATGGATACTACTCATACACTTACTGAAACGTACTTTCCTTTTGTAAATAAATGAATATTATTGATACATGAAAAGGCAGACACTAGAAAAACACTATGTTCATCACACAACATTTTTCCAGTAGTGGGGATCGAACCCATACACTCCGGCGCAAGGGACTGGGTCACTATCCACTTCGCCAATTGGGTCGTCTTCAATAGTTTAGCAGTTGGAATTTATACCAGATACTTAGGTCTATAGTCACTATATATGGGCAAATTTAGAATTTCGCGAAAACTTGAAATACCAAAAATTACCTTAATTTTAAACTTTTTTTTATTTTTCGGTTCAACTTTAACTTCCTTTATTTGTGCTATTAGACCTTGCTTTTTGCCAAAATTTTGTGATTCTAGGTCAACGGGAACTACCACATAGGTTTTCGACTCAAAACCTATAAGGTACTTCCGGTTGAACTAGAATTATCAATTTTGGTTACCCAATTACTATTAAAATACTTGTTCCGTATGGGAATCGAACCCTCAACCCAGCGTCAGCGTTATATGAATTTGATTTTGTTTGGCGCATCCATTGTTATACTAGTGATCGCCCAGTGGTCGAAACTCGACCATTATTACTTTAAATTACAAGTTTGAACAACATAAATCTGTTTTCAAATTGAACACTGACTTTAACAATAAAAAAGAGTACATACACGTGCATGTGTTAAATACATGGTAGTGTGTGTAATGTTTTTATTATAGATTTATTGTATTTTTTATGCATAGTTAAATAAAAACATTATCATTCTGCACTCTTTCTCTATACAAACTATAAGTGCGAGAAATTTCATACTCCTCCGTCCGCGTAATTTTCGTAAAAAGGGATACAAAGTTTTTGCTTCACGTATCTATATATATATATTAAAAATGAATCCCTATTTACCTAGGTCACGCCATCACGCGTGAACGGCTGGACGGATTTCACTGTTTTCTGTTGTGTTTGTTCTTATGAAAGATAAAAAATTTAAAAAATTGTCTTGAAAAATCTAAAAACAACACTTTTCTATATTCCCGTACAAAAGATTCATAATAATACTTAAGCCAATTTGAACTTTAATACCATACCATAAAGTTTAAGTGTTAGTGGAGGGGTTCCGGGAAGGCGAAACAAGTGAGTGACTGTGGTTAAATGTCACTTGCAATGTAAACGTCTCTTTGCTGTGCATCACTACATAGTCAAATTTTTAAGACATAATAATGTTCATGATATAAATACTAGGAACAAAAATAAATTGATCCTACCCACAAGTAGACTCCGTAAAATAAGTAAATCTTTTATGGGACAATGTATACGTTATTACAACAAAATTCCAGAAAACGTTCAAAATGCATCAATAGCTAAATTTAAAAAAAATGTAAAAGAACGTTTGTGTGTTAAAGGCTACTATAATATTAATGATTATTTAAATGATAACACACTCTGGTAATGAACTGATCGCTCCAGGCTCTTTCAATCGGAGTTCTTATATTGTATTTTAACGAATTTATGTCAAACTGCTTATTTAAAAAAAAAAAGCCCGCTGAGTTTCTTTCGCCGGTTCTTCTCAGTACAGTGGCTTTCTTTTCCGAACCGGTGGTAGTGTTTTGACTATCAATAAGTGAGTGTAATGCTCCTATGTTGAATAAATACATTTGATTTTGATTTTGATTTTGAGTCGTCCCGCTGTCAGTCTGTCTCTATGTATGCTTAGGTCTTAAAACTACATAACGGATCGTGATGCGGTTTTTTTCTTATATAGAGTGATTCAAGAGGAAGGTTTATACATATGTATAATACATTGCACCCGTGCGAAGCCGGGGAGGGTCGCTAGTCAATATATAGATACTTCACAGCAGACAAACAGTTTTAAATGTTTATTTCTAACACACCGCCATTGAGTGCAGATGGTCCACTATGCCCCCGTACGGACAGCCCTCGACCTTCGCCCCCTCGGAGGCCAGGTGCTCCACCACCTCCTTGGACAATTTGCCGTCGCCCCAGAACAGCTTGACACCACCCTGGGTCAGCACCAGGTAAGAGAAGAACACCGGGTTGTACTGGATGTCGGAGCCGCGTAAGTTCAGAGTGTCTGGAAAGTTATGGTATTGGAGTCAAAAAGATTATCTTCATCTTTTCAACCCACTTCGAAAAAGGTTCACAATTCGGTTCTATTTTTACCCGACTGCGCCAGAAGGAGGGTTATGTATTTCGAGAGTATGTATATGGATGTATGTATCTATGTATGTATGTATGTATGTATGTATGTTTGGCACGCTCGGCAGCCTTAACGGCTTGACGGATTTTAGCTTGAGATGTGTCGTTAGATTCGTATTTACTGTGAGTGACACTGGGTATATCAAAATAACAAATTAAATAGAAAGGCAGTCGGGTAAATATTAGAGTAAAACTTTACAGATGCGCGCGGACACCGACAGTCAAAAAGCTAAATAATTAAGTTGATTGTCAAGCGACCAACTTCACGGGTATTGCCATGGTAACCAGTAACAGCTTTTTGACTTTTACCTATAATTCAAAATTATTTAATTCGACCATTATCAATTGCATTTTATGTATTTTTCGTTCAACAAAGAGTACTGGCACAGGGGACAACATTTTTACCTATTTTCCTTTTGTTATCCCAAAGAAGTATAACTTCTTACGTTCGTGCATAAGTACAGAATTTTTTTTATTTTTAGGGCTGCTACAGACTTCGCTAGAAAATGAAGTCCTGGTGACGTCGTAGATGGCGCTAGTATACGCTAACAAGGGATTACTACATTGTGAGTTTCATTGATAAGTGTCGAAAAATCTTTCAATTGCGCGAGATTGGATCCCAAGTCTTCTGGGTAACGCGCAGTCTAGCCAACTGATGTATTACAAATTAAAAATAAATGGTTACAAAAAAAATTGGTGCTTGTAATTATGTACGCGCGTGAGAAGTTATACTTCTTAGGCATCATAAAAAAATTGTTTTTAATAGCGTGCAAATAAGTAATTACAATAAAATAATAAAAAGACTGGAAAAGGATATAAATAATATAAAATTATGAAAGCGCCGTCTACATTATTTATTGAGAACTGCAACGGGCGAATGTGCTTGATAACATGCTGCCATCTATAAAAAATAAGCGGTTTAGCGGGCAGCTTCAAATGTGTTACTTTTGTGTTACAATGATGCGGGCGCAAAATTAAAAATTCACTCTCGTCATTTTTTCATAACGCGTCTAAAGAAGTATACCTTAAAAAATTTGACGAAACTCACATGCTACTTCATCCAGAGCGGTGATGACTAGGGCGGATGCTTTCTTCTCTTTCATCTTCTCTCTAAGCTCTTCTATCTTCTTTCCGGCAGCTTTACCTAAGGAGGAAAGAGATTTTCAACAACAAAGGGACTGCATAATTGTTGTTTATTTTATGTGAGACGGTGGCAAGCGATCTGGCAGTTCATCTGTTGACCGCCACCAATAGATATTTGCAACGTCAGTAGGGTTGCAGATGCGTTGCCACCCTCCAATAAAGTGGGCCCCGGCTATCTCGCTCACCGTACGAAACGCAGAAGTATAAAACTTCTACTTTGCGCCGGTCTTCTGTGAGGTCGTGGCAATTACCCGGACGGACCTGCCCATTCGTGCAACAGCGAACACTGTTGCGTGGCACTACCACGGTCAACGTTACAAAATTCCTGTTGTAAATACCGGAAATAGGTTATGGAATCACTGTTTGCTGATATTTTAGGCATTACAATATTTTTTAGGTTATAATTAATAACAATAATAAATCATTTATTTAACCCGTTAGAACACTAGATATACGAAATACTGTGAAACTTAGAACTTAGAGCACCAAAACCCATTTGACGTAATACAGAAATTTTGCCTCGGTTAGAGATATTGGTTTCAAGGTATATAAAATATTTAGAAGTGTGATATAGATAAATATTATATAAATAAGATAAAGTGCATCATTCAGACCGAGGACTTTATTTTCTCACAAAAGAAGAAACTTGAAAAATAGGGAAAAATAAAAAAAATATAAAATCATGTGGACTCAAACGGGGGTCTTCTGGTTCCAGGACCGCCAATCGGACGGTGGCGAAATTTACCTTCGCATTCTAATGATATTGTAGCAGTTTTTCATTGGCTGAAAATACGGATAAAACGACGTTTTCTAAAAATTAAACCTAGCTATATAAGGGTTTTCATTGATAAATTAATAGTCAAGAAATCACCGTTCGCCTCGCCCGATCACACTTTTCGTAACGCTGTCGTCACGACTCCACCAGCTTACTCCCCAAGGCAGGCGTGCGTAAAGAAATGTTACTTCAATTAAATAAAAAAAAAACACTCACCCGTATACTTTACAGGCAGCGGCATAATTTCGTTGTGGGGCCTGGGTGGGGGCGGGTCCTTCATCTGGACCCTCGCTTGGTCCACGAGGTTGTTCGACACGGCTATGAGGTCCATCTTGGCCTTCTTCAAGGCGTTCTGGAAGAAAGTAACCTATGTAAAAAAAATATGTACAGGTCTGCTGCTGAGTTTTTTTTTATTTCATCACTTGACATTATGTGAACCGCCAATCGCCTGCATGCTGCACATAAAAAAATTATAATAGTTTCAGGTCCTTTTGTAATTAAATTGAATTCATTGTGGCACTCACTAAGCATGCAGTTAACGTATAAGTATGCAATTGTCTAAATGCAATTGCTGTTCATCTGGTGTAACAAAAATAAATAAATAAATAGATTAGTTAACTATAATGGTATACCTGCAGTGGAGTCCACTCCTCTCTGCTCATCGTGTGAGGGTCTGCCCCGACCACTGAGCCAGCGTCGAGATTCGCGGTCAGCCATTTTTCCATGGTCGGTGTGTCAGGAAGCGCTATAATATAGCCATTTTTTTTACTAACCAAAAACAAACTCGACTTCAAATACATCGCTCTGTATTTTATAATTGATTTTCAGGAGTATCCCTGAGTATCTCCGGAGTCCAAGATCCGATAGCAATTAAATTTATATGCGACCACGTGGGAAGCACCGGCTTTCAAACGAAAAAAAAAAAAAAATCATCCGAATCGGTTCACTCAATGAAAAGTTCTTTTTTTTTTTTTTTTTTTTTTTTAATTTATTTGGGATAAATAAACAGTGTCACAATAAAGAAGAATAACTTAAAGTAAATATAACAATACAAGTTCAATAATTGTGACACGAACACCATTTACCACAGATTACTTTTCCAGGATTGAGAGATAAACGTAATTTAACAAATTGGGCAATAATTTTACCTCTTCCTTAATTTCATATCAAACTATGGTGTTGATCTCATACAATTTTTTTCTTCTGAGGTAACAAACATAAAAAAAAATACAGTCGAATTGAGAACCCCCGCCTTATGAAGCCGGTGGTAAAGTAGCGTTGTTTCTTCACTGGCAACTGACTTAATCCTTACTAATATTATAAAGGCGAAAGTTTGTATGTATGTTTGTTACTCTTTCACGCAAATACTACTGAATGGATTTTAATGAAACTTTACAATAATATAGCTTTTACATCAGAATAAGAAATAGGCTATAATTTATATACATATTTTATGTATATCTGTCTTTCTGTCTTAATGTTATACCTTCAGCCTATTCTACGCAGACGTAGTCGCGGGCAGCAGCTAGTTTATAATAAATATATTTTAAATTTGCTTAATTGAAAAATAATGGTAAAGAAACATCTGTTCTCCTCAGGTCAATGCTTTTCTATTCCGAACCGGTGTTAGTATTTTGACAAACAATAAGTAAGTTCTATGCTTCTATCTATACAGATAAATAAAATTAGAGTGTCTGTTTGTAATATTAAAATAACCGCTTTTTACTAAATGCTTGTGGATGTATACACGGTACAGATACCAAAATAACATTTTTTACAATCTTTGTCTGTCTGTCTGTCTGTTTGTTACGGCTAAACTCTGAAACGGCTCGACCGATTTGGACGGGACTTTCACTGACAGATAGCTGATGGAATAAGGAGTAACTTAGGCGACTATTATTTTAGATTTTTTTTTATTTTAAATTCCACGCGGACGAAGTCGCGGGCACAGCTAGTATTGAATACTACTGCAGTCTTCCCTTCGATAACATTGTTACCGCTTAATTTTGGATACCATCATCCTGTGTTATAATGACGTTTTTACACATAAATTTCACGTGTACGATTAACGACCCGAATGGCGTAGTGGGTAGTGTACCTGCCATCTGCGTCAGACGGTGTGGGTACGATCCCCACTGCTGGAAAAATATCGTCTGACGAACATAGGTAGTGTTTTTCTAGTGTCTGGGTGTTTATATATTTATAATATGTATTTAATTAAGTATGTTTATCAGTCATCTAGTACCCATAGTACAGTAGTAGTTTGCTTGTTTGGCACAAGAGAACGTGACGTAGTTGTGTAAAAATGTGTCCTAAAATATAAAATAGATATCCGAGACTATCTGTCGGTCACTCAGCTGTGTCGTGTGGGAATCGAAGCCAGTGCCTCAGCAACAGCCACGTAGTGATCCGCAGTAACTTACACTGTCTCATCAGGGTCCACAGAGCGGTGTCCGCCTCCTTCTCGAACTGGGTGTAGTACCGCCCGTCGGTCCAGACCAGGGCGTGGGCTGCGGTCACCACGGCGGTGCCGGCGGAGCCCGTGAACCCGGTGATCCACTCGCGGCGCGCGTCCGCCTGCGCAATGTACTCCGACTGCGAAGGTCCGAGTGGGGGGATGGTGCGGGAGTCCAAAATACCGGACGGCATTTTTTATGTGAGAAGGTGGCACGAGCAGGCGGTTCACCTGATGTTACGTGATAACCGCCGCCATTATGTCCATACATGTCAATGTCCATAAAACTGTGGTAGGGCCACGCAGCAGGCTCGTCCGGGTAAGTACTACGACCTCACAGAAGACCGGCGTAAAAGTGTAACAAATACTTCCGCATTTCGTCTGGTGAGTGAGGTGGCCGGAGCCCAATTATCAAAAGGTTGTCAACGCATCTGTAGCCCTCGGGTGTACCAGCTGTCCGTGGGTGGCGGTATACACTTATCATCAGGTGAACCGCCTGCTCGCTTCGCAACTTTTCACATAAAAAAAGAAAACATTAGCAACACCCGTCGGGTTGCAGATGCGTTGCAAATTTATAACGTGGGCGCCGGCTACCTCACTCACCAGACGAAACTCTGAAGTATGACAATTCCACTTCACACCGGTCTTTGTGAGGTCGGTACCCTAAATAAATATATACCACCCGTCTTGCACAAACATATCGCAACGTGGACAACTTCAAGTACGAATTCATTTAACGTATCATAATATTTTTTTATAATAATATTGCCATCTTACGATTTTAGCCTGAAATTATGTGATTGTTACGCATTACACCCACAATCACACACTCACACAATCACACACACACACAATCAATAAGTGGGTGTAATGTTCCTACGTTGAATAAATATATTTGAATTTGAATTTAAAATTTGACAATGTATACTTAAAAACTAGGGATGCCCAAATGGTATATCGTTGTAGATATCGCTATCGACTTAAAAATATTCCGACACTTACATTGTGCGCGTCTGCCGTCGGTATGATGTAAGCAGCAAGCGCTGTAGGCTGGGTCGCCATCAGCGATCTGAGCGCTGCCAGCCGCTGCAGCGTCATCGTCGAGCCTGGCGCAAAAGAAAAATCACCATCAGTAACTAACAAAATAGAAAAATAAATATATTTGGCGGGAACCGTCATGATGACAGCAACGTATGTCTGTAATAAAGATTGGTTTTTTTACGCTGTCAGTTACACGACAAGGGTGATTTTACCCATCGAAAAATCGCCAAACGCGCCTATAAAACTTTTCACGTATTAATTTTTATACATATTACAAAATTTTGATGTTTCATTTAAAGATATTTTAATTTTGGATTTGAATGGGCGGCGGTTATCAATTAACATCAGGCGAACCGTCAGCTCGCTATCCATCCATCTCACATGAAAAAAAAATTTGTTGACCACACGCCGTGTAATGTATCCAAATGACCTTAGCTGCACACTTACTTTACACTACACACACTTACTTTATATATGACGAAGGTTAACTTTTCATTTCTTGGCATGTTTATAGCACTATTGTTTAATCACATTTATTTCGATATACCTCCCAATCAATCAACGTTTACTGTTTGATTGTTTCAAACATGACATAAAACATTTTACAAGTTTTAAATTTTTATAGTGCTAATCTCTGCTTGGCATTTTTTTACACGTTAAAAAAACGGGTTTTTTACTACCGGCCTCCAAACACTCAGATCCAAAACGATCATCTGTAGGTCACTCAAATAGTTGCACCGTGTGGGAATCGAACCCACCTCCAGGGAGTAATCGAAATAATCATAACATAAATCGTGTCTTCTTCGAGTAAAGGACTTTTTTATGAGAAAATCTGGCAAACGGTTCACCTGATCTTAAGTAAAAACCGCCGCCAATGGACATTTGCAACACCCGTAGGGTTGCAAACGCGTTGCCACTTTTAAATAAAGTGGGCCCCGGCTACCTCACTCACCAGACGAAACGTAGAACTGTAACACTTCTACTTAACGCCGTTCTTCTGTGAGGTCCTGGTACTTACGCGGACGGACCTGCCCATTCGTGCAACAGTGAAATCTGTTGCGTGGCCCAATTTTATACTCCCATAAAAACTGTACCTGTCCACCTGATCTATATCCTGACTATGTTTGTGTAACCTGTCAAACACTATTCATGCGTTCCGATTCCTCTAGACATAATTTATATGGCAAAACAACGTTTGCCGAGTCAGCTAGTATTGAATAAGATATTTGAATTTAGAAGACATTACCCTGTTTCGAGTCGGTGTCGCCGATTATTCCAGCACCTGCAGCGAATGAACCTCTGAAAGAAAAGTTAAAATTAATCATAACTTTCATTGACATTACTAAAACTGTTATATCGACTAGTGCAGATATACTCAACTTGCGGCCCGTCGGGCTTTTGTACTTTATTTTAAAATATTTAGAACATCGCGCCCGTAAGAAAAATTGAGAGCAGGTGAGTAGGTAAATCTATGCGGGAGGCCTATGTTCAGCAGTGGACTCGAAACAGGCTGAAATGATGAGTAGGTAAACAGGTTTTAAATATATAACACTACCGCGCCGCCGTGTGTATTGCTATTTTCGATACGGTAATTTGCCGTAATATATTTTATTTTTAGGGTTCCGTACCTTAAAGGGCCAAGTGCGAGTCGGACTTGCGCACAAAGGGTTCCGTACCATCATCTATAAAAACGGCAAAACAATCATGTTTGTTGTATAGCCCCGCTTAAACATTTTTTAATTGTTTTTTTGTTATTTGTTGTTATAGTGACAACAGATATACATGCTGTGTTTTTTCTTTTTTATTGAAAACATTGCCCTTACTTTAGGATAACATTATCAACAAATATAAATTTCATGCGACCCAGACGCGAAACAACTATCTGTGGGTCACACAAATATTTGTCCCGTGTGGGAATCGAACCCACGACTCCCGACACCGAAACCTTAGCAACTACGCCACGGAGTGGTCAAATCTGACAAATCTGTGAAAATTTCAACTGCAACTATCACGGTTCATGAAGCGTGATAGTTACAGTTGAAATTTTCTTGAGATCGAGCCTAATGACAGACAGTGGAGCTCTAGTAATGGGGTCCCGTTTTACGCTTTGGGTACGGAACCCTAAAAAGGAGCCCTTATAAGATCACTCTCTTGTCCGTCTGTCTGTCGGTGTGTCACCACCGATTTTCTCAGGAACTGGTGGACCTAGCACGTTGAAATTTATACCAGATACTGAAGTCTATATTAAGTGTATAAAAATCAAGGTGCTTAGTGAAACGATACAATGAATGAATGAATATTTATTTAGTTTCAACAAACAAAGATATAGGCAAATTTAGATTTTCAGATACAGCCTGGTGACAGACGGACGGACAGGCAGGCAGACAGACAGCGGAGTCTTAGTAATAGGGTCCGGTTTTGCCCTTTAGGTGCGGAACCCTAAAGAGAGGAGATACCCACTTAAGGCGGCCGTTTTATGTTCGTTACCTCAGAACCCCGTTATTTATGAACCGATTTAAAAATAAACCTCGTAATTTTGCTAATATTTATTGTGGACCCTGGCCTCCGGAGATACATCGGAAAACTCAAAATCAACAAAAACACCACCAATCTACAATTGACAATCCAAACTCACTTTTAGAGTAACCGTTGCGTAAATTAAACGAAATAAACAAATACAAACTTGTTTCGCTATGGTGTCCTTCATTAATAACTACTTATTACTGCCATTAAAGACAAACTATCGAAAGAGCGAGCTACCGAAGCGAAACATTTCACGAACTGATCAGCATAGGTCGATGACCCAGAATGTAAATGTATGAAATCTAAAACCGTTTCGAACCAAACAACATGACATAGTCAGATTGTAATCTCGTGCTATAAAGTTTATAATCTCCGATTACGGTGGTAGAGCCTCGCAGCAGCCTCGGCTGTTGCACGAATGGGCAGGCTCGTCCGGGTATGTACCACGATCTCACAGAAGATCGGCGTAAAGTGGAAGTATGACAAATACTTTCGCGTTTCGTCTTTGAGTGAGGTAGCCGGAGCCCAATTTCCAAAAAGGTTGTCAACGCATTTGCAAACCCTCTGGATTAGCAGATGTCTATGGGCGCGGTATTCACTTAACATAGGTGAACCGTCTGCTCGTTTGGCAACTTTTCACATCCGATGGAGTCAAAACCCGCTCCAGCATACTACGCATGTTTCGTTGCTTTACGCAGTGCTGTACCGATGGCTTTCTTCAAACCCATATTTCAAATGGAGTTTTGTTTTCGATTACTTTAAATGGAGTACGGTTTAATAAATAATCTGCGGTGGATACAGCTTCCGCCCAATATTTCTGGCATGTTACCATCCTTTAGGCATCTGGCCCTTTCTTGTAGGCTCCTATTTTTTCTTTCATCTATTCCATTCTGCTGTGTTGTTTATACACAGCTAAGTCTTCGACTTTATACCACATTGATTCAAATATCCATTGAATTCTTTATTTATATATTCTGTTCCATTGTCAGATTGTAAGTATTTTATCTTATATTTTAAATTTATTCAACACTTCGTTTTTCTTTTGGATTATGTATACGCTTGAGTGTCGAGAATATTCGTCAATAAATGTGACGAAATTGATTGATTTTCCTCCACTGACGGATTCTGCATTCATTGGTCCACACACGTCTGATTGAACTATTTCAAGACGTTGTGTCGTTCTCAAGTTTTGATTATTTTTGGGAAAAGGTAGCCGGGTCATCTTTCTTTTTATGCATAGTTCGCATTCATTTAATTTTTGATGCATGTCAAACTTGAGTCCATTAATTGCTTCATCTTTTAAAGCTTGTTTTAAACTTGTTTCATTTATATGTCCAAGTTTTCTGTGCCAATCATAAATTTCAGCATTAAAAGTAGTTTCTTCTTGGCATTTTTAAAATCATTATCATCCCTTTTGTCTATTAAGTAGTAAAGACCATTAATATTTTTAGCTGTAAGTTCAATTTTCCTTGTTTTTTGAATCTTTTACTATAAATAAAACAACGATATTATCTACAAGATCCAGAATAAATAAAAGGGACTGGAGGAAAATATTGTTGTTTTATTTACATTCAACCACTACATTTATTATAAGACGTTACGTTACGTGCATATTAAAATCAATACAATAGAATAAGAATGACAGACATGTTTCAAAAGCAAACGCTCATTAATGGCCAGTATGTATCATTTCGTGCAAGTAGGTTACGTTAGCTCTTCAACAGTTAGCATAAAATACGTTGTCCTTCCTGTACACACGACTTAAATCCGACAACAACTTATAAATAAATAAAAAATTGTAGTGGACCGAATTGTGAATCTAAATCATTCTCGAATCGACCTGAAGACACACAAAAAATTTCATTAAATTCGGTCCAGCCGTTTAGGGGTTCAGTGACAAACACACAGAAGAATTTTATATGTAAAGAAAGATAATGAAGTCAAATACAACGCAATATTCCTCATCACCGAACCACCATAGAATGCTTAGATTATTTTTTGCAGATAAAACGAAATTGACATATGACGCGGCGTTTTAAATATAAAAGATACAATGGAAGAAAAGACACTCACAGAAAACGCACAACGGCCAAGAATCCCAATAAAGTCATCGCAAAACTGACGCTGTCTAACAAAAGAGTGAACTCTTTTCTATGCTATGACTGGAGCGAATTTCAACGTGAACCGTTACTTAAATAAATATATACTCTGTGTCAAATGCGGTCGGAATACTAAAAGCCTACTTATGGAAGGAGACTTTTGAATATCGATATATAAGTTATAATACCGATTAATTTTATGTCATTATTTGAAATATTCCCAATCTAATTTTGGGAAGATGTTTTTTTAAGAAGATTTTTTTCTATGTCCTAGGCTTAACGCCGCGGCTGGTGACAAGAGAGCTGCTTCTTTTCTCGCTCAAAGGTTAAGCATAACCATTCAGCGAGGAAATGCAGCTAGCGTTCTTGGCACCATGCCGCGTGGATTAGGTTTATTAGATAATATTTAATTTTGGACAGATTTGATCTTGTGAATATTAGATCAATAAAGATTGTAAATACAAAAAAAAATCTAATTTTGGGTAGGTATTCAAAGTAAACTAAATTGAAAATGCTGTTTAATCTAAACTATATTCGCGAATTTCAAGTTTTTTGATAGCCGATTTTAATTGAAATATGAATTCCAAACGACGCTCCGCTTTTTTCTACGACCAAAATCGGTATTAAATCAATGACACGCACTGTGACGGCGCAGTCTCTTTGTGCTCCATTTGCGACAGTTTATTCTGACCACCGTCCAATTACACGAAGCATTGCAACGCTTCCACTCCACGACGCGTAATATAAATTCAATTATAGATTTCAGCTGGCCCGGTCGTAGTCCGCGGAGTTCATCATTTTATTAGGCCCTGCGATGCGAAAATCGTCCCATGAAAGTTAAGAAAAAAAGCGAAAAAAAAATAATAGCCAACATAATTATGTCCCATAGTGGACAAAGGAGAAGAAAATCTGTGAGCAGAGTCCACCATGCGCCCGCGGATTACCAAACTTCGCTAATATCTTCGAAATATTTTGTTTTTGTTAGTACGAGTGTAATTCGGAAGTAAAGACTTCGTTTAAAACAACGAAAATGCAAACTCAAATTAGGTTTCATAGAGACATACTGTGTATACATTACAGTGTGTCCGATAATTGATGGATAAAATTCAGAAAAAAATACCAAAAAAGTATTTTTTTTTTTTTTTTCATTTTGTTACTTTTCCAAAATAAATGAAATTGCATATTTTAACTATTTACTATCTATCTATCAGAATAGTAATTAGTGTATAATATTAAAACAACTAAAACTGTCCACTGAAGTAAAATAAGGCAAAAAATAATTGTTTTTTTAATACTTATTTTTGGCACTATTTATTATAGATTTTTTTGGTACTTTTTTCTGAATGGCTATTAGTTCTACTATAAGCCATTTTAAGGTTATCCATTAATTACCGGCCATCCTTTATGAAACGTATCCGTAAGGTACGACTCCGGTTTAGGCGACCAACTGCCTATAGCGACCTATTTGATGACGACCCGATTGGCGTAGTGAGTAGTACGTAGCCTCTTGCGCCAGAGGGTGTGGGTTCGATCCCAACTACTGGAAAAATATTGTGTGATGAACATAGTGTTTTTTCCAGTGTCTGGGTGTTTATATATTTATAATATGTATTTACGAAAGAATTATGTTTAAGTAAAAATTTGAACACTTATTTATTTTATCTAAATATAAATAAATCTATCTAAGTACTGGTAAATACATCAACAAACAAAAAAAAACAAGCTTTAATTATCCCTTCGTCAGTGATTTAGTGCGTAGTCCGGTTAGTACGTCGTTATATGGCCGGCCCCTTGACCACCGTGTTATCCAGATTCTAGTGAATTTAAAAAATGCGCAGGTTTCTTACCCATTTTTTCCTTCACAGTTGAGCACATAAGTCTACAATTAACAATTACATTGGTGCCAATTTGAACTCTATCGCTGTCTAAATATGTATGAGAAACGTAAAGGCAAAGGTAATGAAAGATAATTTGTTCAACGAGTGTTCGACACTGAATATTTAGAATATAGATAGATTTCCAAGAATAGAGCGTACAACTCTATCAAAACATAAAATCAAAAATAAAAAGTAAACTGTTTAAAAGTTTATTTTTTATTTATGCTGCGATTCATCACGCATTTGCTGTCAACAAAATTACAATCTAAGAAAAAAGAATCTTACATCAACATATTTTGACTTTTAAACGTCAAATGTTAATTTGTGACGTACAGAATATTTCATTTCCTTTCAAAAATGTTCTATGTATGAGAATTCGAGAATTTCATAATTTTTATTATGTCTTATGTTATTATAAACAAAACCATTACATTGCTAATAAATGCTATATCACGAATGAGACATTTCAAGAAACAAAAAAATAATAATAATAATTGTTAGCACGGACCTTTTAGAAGGGTTAGCACGGACCTTTCAGGAGGAAAATCCCTAACCTCCCAAGAGGTTCATGGTGTGTACACTGCATCACTAATACTAGGGAGTTGATCGACCAAACACTTGTTTAAGGTTACTAGACTGAGAACACAAATATTCGAGACAATTTTATTTAATAATCTTTACATAGGTGCCGACCATGAAGAGAATACACGGCCGTAAATATTGTCTTCGGCAAAATTCAAAATTAACCAACATATCTTTATATATAAAAATTTAGTTTCCGTATTTTTGTATCCACGAAAACTCAAAAATTAACCGATGGATTGACTTCAAGTTTGTTCACAAGTTTTTTATTTTTGAAATTAAACAAACAAAAACGAAATCCGAAACAATTACCTGTGAGTAACACTCGACCCCCGTCCACAAAGCCATTTGCGTTGATTGATTGAAGGTAAATATTTGTGAATCTGAACACATAGAAACGCACCCATAAAATGTTTGACAGGTAGGAACAGTTTGTATGGGAAAATAAAATCGTTGCTATTTCGATTTTCCATGCAATTTTTCCATAATTTCTCATCGTTTAAACCTTCCACGGACAGCCACAAATATTTCAAAACCAAAATTAGCCAAATCGGTCCCAGCCGTTCTCGAATTTTAGCGAGTCTAACGAACAGCAAATCATTTTTTATATAAGTTTAGAACATGCGACGCCGCGGTTAAAAGCTAGTTGAAAATACGTCGCGGACTTATCCCGCAAAACGGCGCACGCGTGGCAGCACTAGTCCACATTGAACGATAGGGACGTCTCAAGAACGGCGCTATTTACAAATCATCGTGAGATTAGAGCACAATAACGAGGACGAGTGTTCAGTTGCTTGAATTAACACAAACTACAAATTAATTTATAATAAAAAACATCACATAAGAGAAATATTCTGTCCATTTACAGGTTTTTTTATTTCATTAATGCAAATTTCTTCTTTGTCTCTACAGTTTTTGTTTTTGTGAAAAATACTGTTATTTTCTTTTTTTATTACATGTTTTTTTCAGCCCTAAAGTCTACTGTACTAATTCTTTGTTAGCACTTATTATAAGTAAGTACCCGGAGGAACGAGCTTTGCTCGGTTTATTTTTTTTTTTTTTTGGTAAATCGTGTATTTTGGAAATTACATTTAGATACAAATTACTGAGTAATGAAATATGCATAATATTTTTCGATCTTACTGACTTAATAATAAGAAAATATGAACTGATGTTTTTCACAAAAGAAAGAACTTTAAAAAAAGGGAATAAAATAACAAAATAACAAATCGACAAAAAATTTAAAATAAAGCAATGATCTGGAATCGAAAAAAAGTAAAAAAATAAATGTGTAAATGATCGTGACGCGAACCACGGCCGTCTGTTTTGGGGCCGCCCGATTACCGACCGAGCTATTATGACATTTTCTCTTGCGGCGAAATTTACCGTCATATTCGAATTATATTTTTCATTCCCTGAAAACAGGGATAAAAGGACATTTTCTAAAAATTAAACCTAGCTAGATTGATTTTTCGCCCCCCAATCTACGCTCATACTAAATTTCATGAAAATCGCTGGAGCCGTTTCCGAGATTCCGATTATATATATACAAGAATTGCTCGTTTAAAGGATAAGATTTAATGTTTTATTTTTAGCTGTTGTCAATATAATAATTTTTGAATGTCGTTTCACCTGTAATTGAGATACCTACCATTTAGTTTAAGATACTATAGGATTCCACAAATGAGCTTGGAAATGTCCAGGGTAATCACTTAACATCGGGTTACCCACCTACCAAATTGCCACCTTCTCGCATAAAACGCGAGAAATAATGTATTATATTCTGTACCTAACATTTTTTCACCTTTTTTCTTAACGTGACATTGCAACGTATACTATTGCATACAGGAGTACCTGTTTTAGCATTAGCTAGTAAAACAAATTTCATAATGTTCGAAAAAATTTAACATAACATAATAATAAGATTTATAACACGAATCAAATACAACATAATGTATGCCTCCGTTTCCATTTGAATACATATATGTAAATCTGTAGTCAAATGAAAATGGAGTGGATCTTTTTCGTTTTAATCGGGTAGAAGAAAGTTTTTGGCTACCCTAAGTACCTAAGAAGCTTCGGGGCCTTCGGGGGCGGCAAATTAGTGGATTTTTATTTTTTTCACGCCTTTCGCTCATTCACAGGCGATATAGCGTAAAAATTATAATAAATCAAGCGGGCCTGATGAGTAAGTACTATTTTTCGGCTTCATGATCAGATATTCTTTTCTGACTTGCTGTTTTTTTTTATTTTACTTTGTGATTAGGGATTCATTTAAGTTACTGTGCTTTACTGCGCCTAGGCCTACGCACAGTTTCGCACAAGAGCGCCAGCCTAGGGCTACCAACGGATCAAATCTGCCACTGCTCTGTACTGCTTACCATTTCCGAAGAAAAACGAACCCACACCATGTTTAAAACAGATTACTCGTGGCATCGATTAACCTCCAGTGCCGTCACTGCTCACGATTAGGGGCTTACCTTAAGGACACCTTAGCTGTATTCTATGGGCTCCAGCTATGGATGGATTAGTGGCTGGCACACCGAACTTGATTAAAGAGGGTAGGTATCTCCAGCGATTTACATGAAATTTAGTATGTACGTAGATTCGGTAGTGCGTAGATTCAAAAAATCGATCTACCTACGTTTCATTTTTAGACAATGTCCTTTAATCCCTGTTTTCAGGGAATGAGAAATACCATTCCAATATGACGGTAAATTTCTTAGTGTCCGACCGTCTATAGTGTCCGACCGTCTATAGTGTCCGACCGTCTTAGTGTCCGACCGTCTCGTATGCATAATACGAGACTTCCTAAGTAATCGAACCTTTCGCTATCGCGTCGAGGGCGTGTGTTCGACTACGCATCCCGTTCGAGCCGGGGTGCCCCAAGGGTCGGTGTTGGGACCAGTCTTGTTCACTCTCTACACCAATGACATGCCGCGTGTCAAAGATGTAGAACTTGCTCTTTTTTGCCGACGACACCTGTATCTATACCACAGGCAGAACACCCGAATTGATCCATCGACGCCTCCAAGCTGCGGCCATCACCATCGGTGACTGGTATAGGCCATGGAGGATCGAAATCAATCCCGCCAAAAGCGCGGCAGTCCTTTTCGCGCACAAAAAGAACATACCCATTCCACCCCCCCGTTAAACTCTTGGACAGCCCAGTACCATGGGTTAATAAAGTCAAATATCTAGGCGTCGTCCTC